GTTACGTATTGCTCATTGACCTATTAACTCAAGTACCACAGACTTTTATCAATATTTAAAGGTTATATACATTTAGTAATACTACCTATATTACTTAATTATAATCACTTAAAATAAAAATATAAATAAGACGTGAGATGCTGAGCTGATAGTGTCAATTCACTCTTAATATTAGACAAAACACAAAATTACTGCTAATACTGATTTGTCTTTTGTTATATTACATGTTTGAAATATGAAGATAAGACAAGAAATATAGATTTTAATGTCTCTTAAAACTATCTTTATCTACAAAAGTACTTTTAAACTTTTTTTTCATTCCAATATTAGCTTTATCTAAATTAACAGTAAAAAAATACAGGATCTTAATTTTATAAAACTATATTGTTGAATGTTTAAATTAAAACATCTGATAAATTTCCATGTATTCACTTAATATTCTTAGTTGATTAAATAGTATAAATTGCAATTATTTTTCTTTTTTTTGTAGGAATCGGTCATGTTGTACCTGAAAACTATATAGTTTTTATACATTATATTGCTTATGTATCAAACATTCTAGAACCATTTGATGTAACATATATTCAAGGAAGACGACCTAAACGATTTACATTGGGTAATGGTGAACTCTTACCAGGATTAGAGTTGGGTATAAAAACAATGACTACAGGTGAACATGCAAGATTTATAATTAAACCAGAATTAGCTTACAGAGAATTAGGATGCCCACCTCGCATACCACCAAACTCAACTATTCTATTTGATGTCCATCTTGTTTCCTTTTTATCGCCTGAAAATATTACAATCTTTGACAGAGAAAATTGCGATCCAAACTTATTTAATAAAAATCTTATACAAGTAAAAAAATTACATCTTGAAGCTAATGAATTGTTTAAACTTAAAAATTTGGAAAAAGCTATATATAAGTATAACCGAGCATTGGAACTACTGCATTTAGCAGGGTGCAAAAATAACAATGAAGAAATAGAAATGATGAAATATTTGAATAAACTTTATACAAATTTGAGTTTGTGCTATTTAAAGCAATGTGCTTTTAATAAAGTATGTCGTATGGGTATAGAGGCTATGAAATATTCAGAAAGATTTTCCAAACGCTCAGCAAAATTATTTTTTAACTGGGGTAAAGCATTACGCTTACTTAAAGACTTTACAGAAGCAAAGAAAAAGATTCAAATTGCATTGAAACTTGAACCTCAAAATGAAACAATTCTTAATGAAAATTATAAATTAGAAAAGGATCAAAAATTTCATCGTAATGTTGAGTTAATTACATTTACAGATGAAAATAATGCTGATGACTCTACAAGGTTAACTCCTGAATTTTGGGAAGTGTTCAATACACACTTATTTGAATTTTATAATGGTGATGATGATGTATTAACAGTTATGTGGAACAAAAACCCAGATGATTTTGAAATAATCAAAAATAAAGCAAGTGCTTATGATCTCAAAGTTCACATTATCACAAAAGCTGGTGTTCAGACAAATTGTATTGCTATCCAAAAATAAATAATTATTAAAGTTAATTTAAAAGACTTCGTATTACTATAAAATATTTGATTTTATATGATAAATTAAACTTTATACATTTTAAATTTAATAACCTGGTTAATTTTTAATAATTCAAGTCAAATACTCAAAAAATATTATTAGTATTCAGCTTATTTACAATCTAAGCTGGTTATAAATAATGGAAACTTCGACGTATTTGTTTTATTTTTATTTTTTTATATAGAAAATTGTCAAACAGTAATTTATGAAATTTATGCTGTCAAGTCAATAAATTGCTAAATGGATAAAAAGATCACAACTTTTAATTAAAAAAAAAAAAAAAAAGCCAAAACAAATCAATCAACACCAGATTTAATGAAAAACAAGTTTATTATTAGGCAGTAACTCATTAATGCTCAAATGTTATCGTTCTATGAAATATTTATGATTAATGCTTGACAGAGCTCGCAATGTTAAAACAAAGTCTTAAAAGTCTACATAAAAAATGTACTCATTAACAATGATAGATAAATAATAACTTGAATTTTAAACTCTGTGTACAATACATCTTTTTTAATACTATTCTAGACCAGCGGTTCTCAACCTAGGGTACACAAAATTATCTCAAGGCTTATATGAAAAAAATTGACTAATGGCAAAAATGTTGAATTTGTTTATTAAAAACAATTCGTTTCAAAAATATTTATTATATGTTTTTAAAAATGAAAATTCATGTCACAAATTATAACTCAACCGTCAACTTATCTATATAGTAGATATAGAATTTAGAATGTAACAGAATTTTTTTTAATATTTTAAATGTAGTTAATACATGAAAAAATTAAAAAATTATAATGAGGGATACAATCCAACAAAATATTACATTTAAAGGTACAGAACGAAAAAAGGTTGGGGACAGCTATTTTGCTATTTTAGACCCATTCTCTCCAAAATCTTAATATTGATTACAATCTAAAAAATTAACAAAAGCAAGACATTTCTATAATATTCTATGCTTTCATTAAATCCCTTTATTCTTAACTCATTAATTACCAATTAACATAATACCTGGTAATTATCTTAAGTTGCCAAAAGTAAAAAAAGTAAAGTAGACATTTGCCATACTAACTATTAAGTAAATAGTTAAAAAAAAAAACCAACAGTTAGTAAGACCTGTGTGGCTTCTTTTTCAAGTAATTTGTGATATATATATATATATATATATATATATATATTAAAAACTTAAAAACATTTACCTAAAAGTATAAAAACTTGTTAGTTACTAAAAAATTAAAAATGCTGAAATACGTCGAATAATATGTATATGAAAACAATGATTGCATTTGTATAACATTAATGTAAATTATATAGATTAATCAGCTTATGAATATTTTGAATTAGTTAATCCTGTCTGAAAAAGATGAAAAAAAATGTATATATTAACAATATTTAAAATTTATAGAGCAAAAAAATAATATAGTAAACATAAACAAAGACAAAAATTAAAAATACTATTCAATGCTGGTGAGTGTAACTTGACTTAGATTTTCAGACAAATAATCCATTAAGTTTTGAGCAAAGTGTTTATGAGAAAACACGTTCACATTAATATGTTTAATAAGAATTTCAGGCTTCATCCAGGAGAGTTCTTTTAGTAAATCTAAATGTAAAATACCAATATATATAAATTAGAAATCAATAGTCAAAATAATATTAACATTAATAAATTAAACGATCCCTGAAAAAATCAGTGTTTAATGAATTCAAAATCACAAATTGTTTTATAGGTGATTACCATTAATATCAAAATGTTATTTAATACTATTTTAAATACAATATTAAATTGCATACATATTTTTAAATCAATAATTATTATTTTTCATTAACATAATTGACATCAATTAATATTTAATTTAATAAAATTTAAAACATGTACATTTATAACATAAAAAATGATTATGCCAATAATTCAGAGATCATTTTTAATTTATACTATTATTAGTTTGGAGCGGATTTTATTGTAATTATAATATATTTTTACATAGAACTATAACAATTGGTATCTGGTTACATCAAGAGTCATGAATTTCTGAGTAAATTGGTCCAAATAAAATTGTATGTATTTTCACATAAATGGTAATTTGATTATTAATTAATAAATACATAACTTGTAAATATATTAAATTTTTGTTTTTAATGTTTTAAAATTGATTTTACATAGATACAAGCATTTGAAATGACAAATTTATCAGTGTAATCTTAAATACAATTTTTTTTTTACAAATTTATGTAAATATATTGACTTTATATGACAATATAATCCATTCTCTAATTATTATTAAAACATAAATAATTATTACCAAGTATAGATTGCTGAATATCTTGATCATCTAAAAATATTACTAAGGTTTTATATAATTGAGCAACATGAGCTTCATAATGAACCATATAATCATTAGGAAGAGGTTGGGTATATATTGCTTTGATCAGATTAATGGCTTTGAATCGTGTATTTCCTGGGTTATCATTCAAACGAGCTAGTGCAACTAAATTTTTATATTATACAAAACAGTGTTTTTAACTACATTTTTTTTTTTTTTTACTATACCTCTAGTGACATTGTTTATTATGTCCGCATCTATTTTATCTAAAGTTTTGGCAGCACAAATTAAACAATGTAAAGTATCTAATGCATATGCACGAGTTTTATAATGGTTATCATCAGCAAGAGCCAAAAATATTGGGAAACTCTAATAACAATTGAAATAAAAATTAAAAAATATACTTTATCATAGGTAAAAGTATATACTTACTAGATTTAACATTATTTCATTAAAACAAGTAAATTTTTTATTGATAATTTGTGCACACAGACATGCAGCCGCTCTTAAACTTTCAGCTGTCTTACCAGGTCTCCACGTTAGAATAGGAAATATAATAACTAGAACATAATCAAATAATTTATATATTATATTATACAAATACTATTTCCTACTTTTAATAATGATATTTTACCAGAAAGAATTTGCCAAAGTTGTTTATCATTGAAAATATCTTTATCCACGCATGTATTTATATTGATTATCATTTTCATAAGAAATTTTGGATCTTTATCAAGATTGTATAATGTTTTTGTAAGAATCTGTAGATATATTTCATAACAGCTTAAAATTACATATTCTAAAAAAAAGATTATTAATGATATATTAATGCATAACTAATTAATGTAAGTATTTTCAATTTTATAGTATTATTACCAGCATCTATTGTAATTTTGTCAAGAACTTCTCTTCCGGGTGAATGCACTACCCATGAATCACAGCTATCATTAAGTTCATTTAGCAATTTTTCACTATGTGTTTTAAAAAGTTGTTCCTTTGTTTTTAGTTCACACATATTGATTAACTTTTGAAAGATAACTGAAAATAAATATAAATTAAATATTTTTTCTTAATTACACATTTGAATACACTATTTAGGTATAATATTTTTAATATTAATACATTTTTGTTATATATTTAGATCAGAAAATTCTAAACTAGAAGGCTACAAACTCATTTTGAGAGTAAATTTTTAAAATAAATATGAAAATTTTCACAATTTGAAAAAATTATTTAAATAAATATACTTAAAATACCTAAAGGTGCCATGGGTCAAAAAGGCTGAGAATCTCCAACATAGAAGAATTTGAAAGGGAAATGCAAGTCTACCTAATGAGTAGTCTAATTTACTTAGCATAAATTGTGTATTAGATTTTTAAGTTAAATATGTCACTTTTTTATGTACCATAATAGAATATAGTGCAATAGTAAATAATACAATAGTTCTTCCCTACCTTTTAAGTAGCATTGCCCAAATGTTCCATAAAAAATCTGTCTATTTCTAAAATCATTGTGTCATAATTAGACATGATAATAAGAAAACCCTTGATGAAAATTGAGAATATTTGGTCGTCATATGAAATAACGCTAAAATACTTGTCATTTGAATAAAGTTAATAATTAGAATGGTACAATAGTTTGGTGTAAATTTTGTGATTAATATACCTAATATTTATAGTTAATAAAACATTAACTTTTTGTAACACACTAATCATTTACAACCTACAGTTTGATAAATGCTAATCTATAAAATTAAGATTTTTACAGTATGTTTCATTCAAAATACAATATATTGTAGTTAAATGCTATTGAAAATATATTTTCTTAAATATAATTTGAAACTTTAAAAAAAATAAATATTTTTTTACTAATGTTTTGAGGGTTTTAGTTTTTTTAAAATGACAATATACATTTTAAAAAGATAAGTGTTAAAGTTATAATTAATGAATATTTAACAAAAATTGAAATATGTTGTCATTTAGAGGGGTAGTGACGGCATGAATAGCTATTTTATGAGGTGGCCGCCTCATGCAAAACTATGGATGGATATTCCAACGACTCCAAGACCTAGACAGCTAGTTTATAATTTATACTCACATATTCACATACGATATATACAACATACATACGACATACCTAAGTAAATATTAGGTGCTCTGCGTTACATTATTGAGAAATCGTTTAAATATAGATGAAATATGAATGAAAAATTAATGGGTGGATACTTATTTAAGGTAGTTGCTTCATAGGAAAAAAAAGTTCACGCCGCCACTGTAGAGGGGTAATAACTGAACAAAATCAAAAACAATAAAATATGTTATTTCTTTACAAAAATATTATGAACTTAAAATTAAGTAAAATCACTATTTTTAAATACATTTATGGCTTTAAAAATAAATAATGTCTTACATTAAAATAATCACATACACATAAATGACTATTTGAATAAGTTAAATTAAATATTCAATTGTATTGTAATAATATTTAAATTAATCCCTAAATGCTTGTTCATAAAAAAAATAGCACTTACAATTATTGTCAAATTGATCCAAAGTTGTACTTTGTACAGTGATGTAAATTTTAAATAATTCATAAGAAAATTCTTGACAATCTGGTTCGCAAGCTACTAACACATACTCAATAACTTGAAGTAAATATTTTTTAAATAA